TCAATCATTTATTCATGCGCTCATTTATTTTAAATATTTCAAATTATATCCTACTGGGTCTTTCGCTCACGTTTTATGTTTTAAATGTTAAACCCCTCCCAGGAGACTCGAGGAGCGGTGCAGGGTAGCTGGAGTTGCTACTGTTGGATCAAGTGAGGATTGAGTTTATCCTCTTGAACAAATGTAAGGAATTTGAGAAATTATGTAAACCTATTTAATATTGGATTTACTAGACTGTGGATGATGTCTATTGTAATTGATTATTTACATGTGCATGTATGTACGATACTGTATGTCCTGTGGGGTGGAGCCCTGTGTGTCAGAGGCTCCTGGATTATGTCGTTTATTTATATTTTTATGTAGTTAAGTGTGGGACCCGGTTGGGAATCTGCTTTATTAATCCCAAATCGAGTTCCACGTCACCCACCCCGTTTGGGGGGCGTGACAGGCATATGATATATATATATATATATTTTTTAAATTAAATTTTAGAAAAAAATTACAACGGCCAGGGCCGGCCCGTGAAGGGCTTGATCCCAGGCCCGGCCCTGGCCCTTATGAACTAAGGCCGCGGGCCTGAGATTTTCTCCTCAGGCCCGGCCCTGCACAGCTGGCACGGCCCTGCACTGTGCAGGGCCGTGCCATGCATGGCCCAGGCCCGCCATGGGTCTGGAGTCAAACGTGCCGTGCCGGCCCGGTACGTGCCGTTTGACAACTCTATATGTGGTACATAGTTGTCACGCCGCTCACACACATCAACAGAAGTATCTGTTGAGTCACCCCCTTTATCCAACTCAACACTCTTCATAGTGGTCGTCTATGTGATGCAACAACTTTTCTCCACCTGCCCTTGTAGCATCTAAAAAATTTCACCATAATTCAAGGACACCACGTTTTGTCCTACCCTGTCAGCCACCCCTTGATTCGCAGGTGTAGCTACCTCTGCCTATGCTTTCTTAGTACCGTTTTCCCTCACGCTGGTGAATTTGAAATGTCCATAGTGATCGGACTTTTCGTCGAGGTGTCTAGACTAGATTCAGGCACTGTCACTGTACGCAATCTTCCTAATGAGCTAGAGTTTCACCGATTCAGCCACTGTGAAACACGTCTCTCCAACTCCTTCTGCTTTTAAGGTGTGTTGGAGATTATTTTTGAAACTCCCAAAAACACTTTGTGCAATAAAATGATACAATTAGTGTTTGGTAAATATGCACAAAAACACTTTACACATAAATTAATGACTTTTTAAGTTATTTTAAAAAGTTAGAATGTATAATTTTTAAATTTTATTTATGCTTCTTCTTTTGCTTTAAGTAAAGTAGTATTTCTATTAAAAACATAACAATTATTTTAAAAGCACAGGAACCCCAAAGTAGGCCTTAGTCCACTGGCCAGAAGCACCCAGAAACACACTCAAGAAGCCTAGCAATTACAGTGAACAATGGAATTTCAGAGAGAGAAAGGTGTTTGGCTCATAGGGTTTTTAGAGAGAAAGGAGAGAATGCTTATTGTACCATTTGGTAGGAGGGATGTACAGAAGAATGGAGAGAGTTGACGGAACAAAGAATGTGAGGGATAAAAAGGATTAAATGCTAGCATTATCGTTTCTGTCAATCTCTACATTCACAATTTGACACTTGAACTCCTCTATCTCATTTTCTGTTTAAATAATAATATATTGTGTTAGTAAAGTTCACATGTCAAATAATGAATGCATAGAGTAACAAAAAAGTGACAGAAAGAGTGATGCTAACATTTCTTTTATAATCCTAGAGGAACGTGCGTAGGCACGTGCCATTTTCATCTTGAGAATTTTAGAGAAACGAGTTGCTTATTGTACCATTTGGTAGGAGGGATGCAGAGAACGGAGAGAGTTGACGAAACGAGGAATGTGAGGAATGAAAAGGATTAAATGCTAGCATTATCGTTTCTGTCAATCTCAACATTCACAGTTTAACATTTGAACTCCACTATTTCATTTTCTGTTTAAATAATAATATATCATGTTAGTAAAGTCTACGTGTCAAACAATGAATGCATAGAGTGACAAAAAAAGTGACAGAAAGAGTGATGCTAACATTTCTCTTATAATCCTTTATACTATTTGATAAAAGGAAGGGAGAGTTATAAGATGCATAGATGAATATTTCATTATTTACCATATTATCCTTTTTACTATTTCACACCAAATTTTCTGAAGGACAAATAAACCTTAGATTGGTGGATCCTTTCATTAGTGGAAGAGTAAAATGGTGGCCCAAAAAGAAAGAGCCCCCCTTCTCTCCCTCCCTCCAATCAAACAGTGGTCTCTCCCATCTCTCCCACCACCCATCTCTCTCCCTCCACCTCTCCCTCCTAATTCCTTACAAACAATGACTTGAGTAACTTGACCATCGTACCAACGATTTGTGACCTCCCCACTTTAGTCAAGAAGAGGCAGATATAATTCGCCTTCATGAAATATATAAGGATCATAACTCGACCTAGCAAGCCTGGCTCGTACGTCAAAAGTCAATAAAACAAATCAAAATGTTACAGCTAAAAACATTGACTTTCAGAAGCATTTTTGCTTGGTTACCTTTTCGTCTTTCCTGCGCAGCAAGTCTGTTTCAAAGTTTGTTTTTATACAATTCTGTGATGCAACGATTCTAAAAGAACAAAAATATAGTGAAACAGCTTATTTCTTTTGGTTAGAGCAGAGCACTCCTGGCAATAAATATAATGAAACAATTTATTTGCTTTGGTGAGAAAGAAAGCCCTCCTTGAGATAAATACTATAGGCGAAAGCATTAAATGAAAACATGGTCAATTTTAAATGCTCAAAAATGCTCGTTGCATGAACTCAGTTGTATCTTTCAGCTTTGAAATTAACTTGTGGATTACGAATGTCTTCCTGGCTCTGAATCAACCGAATCTCCAAACTGCTTGACTGAGGATCATGGCCGGCTCTTTTGTAGTCACTCAATGTCCTCTGCAGAAGTGCCTGCAAGTGTTGAAAAGTGGGAGTTCTTCATCAATCTTTTCTTTTTTTTTTTTTTTGGAATGGTAAATCGGGATTCAAGAGGTTCCAGTGACCATAATCCAACAGGTGAGAGGCCAAATATAATAATTTCTATATGATAAGGCAGCTTTTCATCAATTTCCAGAGAACTCTAGAACTGTTATCTAGAAGCAGGTATTATCTTTAATAATTGTCTAGCAATATTGATCTATATTCCATAGTAATAATCAAATCTTGGGGAAAATTTTTGAGAAGAATAATTTAGAGATGAGTCCTTCCACGGTTGAATACAAAAGAAGGCTGTGCATGATTTCAGCACCAGTTCTGAAGTTTTATGTGTAATAGTAGAACAAAACCCAAAACCTAAACGTATAAATCTTCAGTATGTTTTCTTAAATCAAAATTAACGTCATCTTTTTCTTACATAATTTGAAAAGAAACCAAGTTAAACCAGATAAGGTATTCAAATAGCACCAATTTACACTGAAAACAATCAATTTGGATCAGTTTGCTTAGTCAGTTTAAGAGACATTAATTAAGACTTCGTTTTGTTCAAATAGAGATTGTGATTAACTTTTTTTTTTTTTTTTTGGTTGGGTAAGAAAAAGCCTTGACGAACAAAATAAGTACAAGGGGAAGAGGACGAGGTTTCCTCAACAGAGAAACCAAAAAAAGAAAAAAACAAAACCCAGTCAACTGAAACTGACAAAGGCCCTATTGATATAATCTTATTGATACAAGTCAAGTTTAGACCGCTTTACTTGGAAAATCCATAAGTCTTTAAGAATGCAAATATAGGCTGGGCAGAGACATATATGGTCAGCTTGGATCAACTTAGTTTAATTCCTTTATAATCAAAAACTTCAATGGACAAACAGAACAATATGGCTTTTCATTTTTTTTTTTACCCCACTTTCAGAGAAATCCAATAGAACAGATTGGTTCGCATGGTCTATGTTTATTTTATCAGGACTTTGAACAGCCTACCTGTAAGCTCGAGACCGCAAGCTCTGCTGCCTTCTCAAGGTTGTCAGGATATTTCTGAGAGGCACCAAAACAGTTGTTAGTAGATATAATACCATTGGCAAGAGCAGTGAATGAGTTCTCAGGGTTGCTCTATGCAAGAAAATAACAATAGCTATGAAAATATTTAGAGCTATTACATTGGTCCAACCAAGTAGGAGGGCAGTCATAAGATCTCCCGTTCCCTGCAAGCATCAGATAAATCAGTCACCCTAAAGCATCATAAAAAGGGTCGTACTAATTTTGCATTAACTATACAAATGAATAGAATAATTTGACTACCGAAACGCTAATATCACTTTCACTATTAACCATTCTTTGTTTTCAACGACAAGTGATTAAAAGTGATAAACAATGTCAAGTTCAAGGGAGTGTGATAAGCCACCGATACGTTTCACGTATGCAAGGCGTGTCAAGCATGTGACCTGAGTGACGTGGCTTTGAGGATGAATGTGTCCAGCTGGGAATTACGCATTTAGGTTCGTGGTGTTTGGTTGGACAACTCAGTCCAGTTCAGTCCAATTCAGCCCAAACAACAATTCAAATCCGTGTTTGGTTAGGGCATTAATTGGGGTAGAATGGGCCATTTTATTCAAACTGAACGGTTGCCCCCCCTCAATTCAATATTTCAAACCATTACTCTACAGCAAAAAACACCTCCACAGTGAGATTTGGTTGTTCTTGCGTGTTACAATTTCTTTTCCTTATATTTTCCTCAACTGTTGCCATTAAAAAACGCCTAAAATACACTAAAATTATTAAAAAACGCTTAAAAAAAGATTTATAATTCTAATTATATACTTCTTTAATAAGTTATTAGCTTTTCTATTATTTGTTATACATTATCAAAGAAAAAATTTAACGTGCCATACTTGGGAAGCGCTCCACAAAATTTTTTTCTTTAAAAAATACAGGTTGTATCATTCCTAATACATTATTATTTTTATTTTTAAAATATAAATAATAAGGTTTTTTAGTCGAATTAGAATCAAATTCCAAACACTAATTTGAATTATATTCTCTTTTTGAATTAAAACTTTAAATGTACAACAAAACACTAGTTCGAATTACTGTTTAAACCATTATGTTAGAATTTTTCTGTCCAAATCTAAAAAGTTCAAATCAATACAATTCAAACAGTGAACCAAACAGGGGCTTTGTTATTTTGTCTGTTAGCTATTTTGGTTAAGGGTATGAGTCGGTGGCATGGGGTGGTGTGTTTTCTGTTGGATTTTGTGTAATAAATGTTAAGGGTGGTGTGAAAGCAAGGTAGGCAATCATTTTGAAGTGAGTCTGTTGTGGGAGAGAAGCTGAGCCTATCAAATTGCTTAGCATTTTCTGTATTTCTTCATCATTTGAAGCAATACTACTATCCGTTTGTTTCTTTCTTCTTCTATTTCCGTGGGTTCTTATCAGAGTGCAATTAACTAAGATAGAGATTGCTTGACATGAGACTTGAGATTAAAAAGCATTTGTGAAGCATGAGGCACTAAAAAACATAATAGAAATGTAACACTCTGAAGAATTAAATGAGATTAATTAAGGTAATTGAGATTATTAGTGTGCCTAATCTGGATTTATTAATTGAGTATTAATTAATAAATGTTTCTGACACGTGTGAGTTTAAATAATTCCAAGGTATTTAAATTATTTTTAGTAATTTATTTTAACCCAGAAGTGTGTATGAGCACATTTCTAAACTGTTGTTTTAAAATATTATACACATGTCATTTTCTTTTTCTTTTTTATTTTATTTTCTTTTTCCTTTTCTCTTTTTCTTCATTTTCTCTTTCCTTTCCCGTGCTCTCACTCTCACTCTCACTCTCTCGATCTCTCTCTCTCTCTTTCTCCCTCTCTCTCTCTCATTTTTGTCCCAAATTAAACGGATCTTGAACCAAATGAGAGTTTCAAAGCGTTTTCAACGTCAAGAGAATGATTCGAGATAAGATTACTGAAAGAACCTCTCTTGAATCTCAAGTTTTTGAATTTCAAAACTTATTTTTGGTTCAAACCGGATATTGATGGTTTTTGAGTAAAACTATGGTAGAAATTGGAGATCTTGGGTTCTTTGGACTTGTTTTAGGACATAGAACCCGGATATAGTGGTTTTCTTTTGAAATATTTCGATTTGAGACTGAGATTGCAGGTTTTTGGACTGGTTTCCGCGAGCTTCTCTCGCGCAGCTAGTGCCACCGGTCGACCGGATCACATGGTAACCGGTCGACCGGTGCGGTCGACCGGATTGCATTGGCCTGACCGGTCGACCGGAGTGCACACCACCGGTCGACCGGTGGTAATGCACTGTTCTGTCACCGGTCGACCGGTTGACACGGGGTTTGACCATGTTTAGCCTGAAATTGCTGTTTTGACCCCTGTTTTCAGGGAGAACCCAAATTAGCTTCATTTTGGGACTTGAGATGAATGAATTAGCATCTTTAATCCTTGTTTTGAGATTGAAAACCCTTTGAATGATAATTTGAAATATGAAAATGGATTAGGGCACACTAATAGGAAATCTTGGTTGGAAATTGAGATTAGATTGCTTTATGAATGAGAATTAATCCTAAAGTGTTGTCTTGTATCAGTGATCGCTGAGGATAAATTAGCATCTTTAATCCTTGTTTTGAGATTGAAAACCCTTTGAATGATAATTTGAAATATGAAAATAGATTAGGGCACACTAATAGGAAATCTTGGTTGGAAATTGAGATTAGATTGCTTTATGAATGAGAATTAATCCTAAAGTGTTGTCTTGTATCAGTGATCGCTGAGGATTCAGAGTGAAGGGGCTTGAGGAAGCGGAAGCCGGAAAAGGCAACGCTAGTCTCAAGTTTGATAGTGCGAGGTATGATTTCTATCCCTTTTCCTTGTAAGCCTGATTTTCAAAAAGGATTTTAGCCTTGGAAATGTTTTAAAAGAAAGGGGTTGGTTTGCGAAAGAAAAACTCTTTGAAAACCATGGCTTGTGTAGTTTATGGAATCCATGGCTTGTCCTGTCTATGGAATCCATAGCTTGTCCAGTCATGGAACCTCATGGCTTGTCCAGTCATGGGGCCTGTGGCTTGGGTAGTTCGTGGGGGCATAATAACGATTTCAGAAAGTTAATGAATGATTTTTTAAACTAAGAGATCTTGTGAACTGGTAAGAGAGTCTATTACTGTAAGCCTATATAGGATGCGGATAGTGCATCCTCAGGGGCAGAACTCGAAACTCGGTCTGAGTAGGCGAGGCACTTGGTTAGGTAAGTAATTTGTACTAATTACTTGCTGAAGCCTGTAATACGGTTATTTTCAGTTATATTTCCTTTGAGAAAAAGAATGTTAGGTTTCGGCTGTCTATTGGAACTGAATGTCTATTTATTTATTTACCCATTTATTTATTTACTCGCACATTTATATATTCATTTACTTTTAAGTCATTTCAAATTATATCTTACTAGGCCTTTCATTCACGTTTTATGTTTTAAATGTGTTAAACTACTCCCAGGAGATTCTAGGAGCGGTGCATAGTAGCTGGATATTTACTACGTAGCAGCTGAGTTGTGTTGCTGTTGGAATCAAGTGAGGATTGTGGTCATCCTCTGGAATAAAGTATAAGGAATTGAGAATTCTGTAAACTCTTGAAATATTTGGATTAACTAGACTGTGGTTGATGTCTGTTGTAATTGACTATTTACATGTTCATGTATGTACAAATACCGTATGTCCTGTGAGTGGAGCCCTATGTGTTGTCAGAGGCTCGGGATTCTATAATTTATTTATATTTTAATGGAGTTGAGTGGGGCTCGTCTGTGAATCTGCTTTATTAACCCCTAATCGAGCTCCACGTCACCCACCCCGTTTGAGGGGCGTGACAGAGTGGTATCAGAGCCCTAGGTTAAGAAATCCTAGGATTATACATACATGTGTGACATCTGTAATCCACTGAATAGTCTAGTTTTATTTCAGTTAAAGGAAATAGCGTCTCGCTGTAGACCAGCTAATCAACCGGCACAACAAAATCAGGAATTTCTGGATGCCATGTATGCTGCCTTTCAAGGCATGGCCACTAGAGCTCAAAACGAGCGGCCGATTGAGGATAGGAAGCAAGGTTACTTTCAGGAATTTAGGCGTGCGCCTATCCCCTCGTTTAATAGTGAGGGAGGACCCCAGGAGGCAGAGTTTTGATTAGACTATAGTCAAACACTTGAGTACTATGGGAGTCCCAGATGAATACTGCGTGAAATTTGCGGTATACAAGATGGATGGCTTAGCAAATACTTGGTGGAAACAGGTCAAGAGAAGAATAGATGTTACATGACTGACTTGGGAGCAATTTGAGACACTGTTCAATGAGCAGTACTTCCCTCAGAGTTATAGGGATGAAAAAGCACTGGAATTCATGTCTCACCTGTAAGGTGACATGTCTATAAGGGAGTATGAGGCCAAGTTTAATGAACTGTCCCGATTTGCGCCATCCTTGGTGGAATCTGAACATCTTAGATGTCTTAAGTTTAAGAAGAGCCTCAAGAACTTTGTGAGGAGATCATTAGTGGCTTTGAGAATTTGAAATTTTCGGGATTTGGTGGCTGCTGCCACTAGGGTGGAGCAGGATAACATACCTTATCACCAAAGCAAAGAACTAGCTGGACGAGTTTCAGCTCCTGGTAGACCATCTGCTTCTGACGGGCCACAGCGGAGTGGTAGAAGGAACCGCAATCAGGGTTAGCTGGTGAGGGAGTGATTAGTGGTGGCAGTAGTTCGTCAGGAAGTAACAAAAGTGCTCTATACGGACCCAAGTGTCACCATTGTGGGCAGGTGGGCCATATTAGGAGGAATTGTCCTAATCGGCCGCCGGCTCAACAAACCCAAAGTGACGCTTCGTACAGTTAGGAAGGGCCACCACAGTATATGCCACCCTATCAGCCACAACAGATGTCATACCCTCCTGTGCCAACTTATCAACCACCTCAGTATACACAATTTCGGCCCCAAGTGCCGAGACCTGTACAACTACCTCTGCCGCAACAGTATAGGCCAGCGACCCAACGGCCTAATGTTGGTGATAGAGAGAAAGGGAAAGTACAGGGGCAAGTTTATGCCCTGGAAGGAGGCAGTTCGGGAGGTCAGACCAGTAACGCGGCGGTTGAGGGTATGATTCTAATCTCTCATTCTTTTGCTCACGTGTTGTTTGATACAGGTGCCACA